GACATAAATGGGCTTGGGCCCAACAAGCCCACAACCCATCTAATGACAACACAAAGCACTAGCAATGCTTTGTTGCCCCAGAGCCAGTTAGATTAATGACTTGACCATCCTATTACACATATTTGGTTGCCGTATGTATCTCCTTTCGTCTCGGTTACCTTCCCATTAAACCTAAGGTAAGGAAACGTATCAACCCTTGCGGTTTAGGGTAAGCTTTATTCGAAATAGGGAATCTTCAATTTACTGACTCTAAAGGCAGATCATCTCATGATCTCTTTTACTATGCATAGATTCCCGAGTCCCTGTAAATGTCATCCCGATTTCTCCGGTTTACAGATAACCTAATCTCTCACAGAGATTTGACGAATTCCTTCAGCTTATCACCCTAGCCCTGTGCTCTTTCAGGACAAGCCCAACAATATACCTATGAGTCCCCATGTTTCAGGCAGACGAGGTATACAGTCAAAGCATGCCTTCTAGAACACAGTCTAGGTAATAACTTCTGGTCTAAGGAAAAACATGCCCAAACGTAAAGAGACTACTCTAATGATACTCTCTTTGAGATTTCCTAATAGAGTATCTTTGTGGGTCTGTTCAGTGCGAGCTATACCCTTATAGGTCCACCCACGACTTTAGCTAAGACATCTCCATATCTGTAGCTCATGAGGTCTTTACCTTGCATCCGAATACAAGTAGATAAGTCGTGCTAGTCTTACCCGAGATCACTGATCCCCATTCTCAGTGTCTCTAGACTAGGAACATAAAATTAGGAATAAACATCCGGTATCCTTAAATCCTCATGATCGTGATCTCATCACAGATACTTAAGAGATACCTATTTTATTCCAAGGGGTTTATCCAGTTTATTCATAATATACTAACAATAATATCGAGACTAAATATGAAACAGGAAAGAGTGCTTATTATTAATTTGCGACAAAAAGGTCTACATCTTATGTCCTTATTTAATCAAAAAGATTGTCTCTAGGACACCCATATACTAACAGTTTCGACGGTTTTATGAAAGTAACTTACAACGAGCGTATCCGGAGTTTTAGAACTCCAAATGGTATTTTTGATACCTTGTTGGAAAGCTAAAAGAGAGTAGAATTACATATCAAAATATGGGAAGTTATTGACTAGTAGTCCAGTTGCAGTTTTGGAAAAACGAAATGTACCTTAAGTTGGAAAAACGTCAAATTGTTTATTCATGCTTCGTTGGTTTATGGGAACCACTTAACAACTTTAAAATAGACGTAGTATGATGTTAAGCAACAATATTTATGGTTCCACGAGAGTTTTGATTTGCAATCACATTTTTGGAAAAAATTTATTACGAACGTTTAGTAAACGTGAGGATTTTGTAAACAGTAATAAAAAGAAAAAGTTTTACCGTAATTTATAAATGAACTACTGTGATTTTTCTTTGGAACTGTGATTGTAACTGCATTTAACATCATAAACAATGATAACATGACCGGATGCATACGGGATGTTACACTTCCTTGTACATTTGATAGGAAAGATGTGGATGTTGCAGATGTTATTCTTAGAATCAAAATCCTAACAACACCTAAAGGATTAGCACAATGGCATTCCCGTTAGTTTGCAAAGATTCTTAAGAGGGTCAAGATCTTAGGAATTACTTTATTAAGTACTCTAATAGATACAAATTTTCGTTTGTCTACAAATACTGGCCAATCTAAGGAGCAGAAGTAGTATGCCAATACACTAGGTAGTTTAATGTGTGTCATGAACTACATTTGATCTGACAATGGATATGTTATAATTGTGCTAGAGTACTAGCGGAACTAGGGGTGTCCAAGGTAAAAAGACACAACTATAAGAACCAAATGTGTTTGGGGAACAATTATATGTAACTTATTGTCTTTGTTCACATACAAGGTTGACGGTTGCAAGGCATTATGTCCATTGATTAAGAAAGTAAATTCGATAGATGCCATGAGGGATGGTTACAAGGCAATTTATCCACTGATCCTGATGAAATTGTTTCTCATTAAGGGATCTCACATTGCCATAAGCCTTATATACATATCTCACAATGCCTAGACTTATTTTTGCAGGGGATTGTTAGAAATCATGATTGTGTAACATGATAAGTGTCACAGAAAAAAGTTGAGAGAATAGAAAAGGAAAATTCAAGCGGGTGTGTGGGTAAGTATATCTCACAATAGACAAGGAGGGAGGTGAAAAAGAGCTTATAAGGTTAACCTAACCCTTCACGATTTTCCCGTGAGGCATACCACTTTTATAAAAGGAGAGGACCTAAGTGACCTTTTGTTTATGGGAAAATATTATCTTATGCTGTAGGAGAATATTTTTTTCTCCTACCTATACATCCATTTTCGCGTTGCTTTTTTTTTCTTTTTCTTTTTTTCTTCAAATGAGTGGGTCCCACTCATAATTATCTCTATGACATAACAGAGCTTCTCTTATGTCACATTAGATTAATAAAGCCCTTTGTTTATTACACCGAAGTGTGTCAGTGTTGCTATTGTCCATTCTGGTCAATCGCGTGTTGCCTACATAAAAACGATTTTTTATATAAAAATTATTATTTTTTCCACAAAATGCCCTTATGTTCGTTGCGTTGTCTCTAGCATGTTTCTTTCTCTCTCTCTCTCTTCTGCAAAAACTAATGATGCAGTGGTTTGCAAGAACTTTTTTATGGCAAACGATGTGTCTATTGTTTGTGACTGTTCAATTTCTATAATTTAAATTTAGGAAAGATAAAAATATTTTTGACTTAATTCTACTCGAAAAATTTCTTTGATTTTTGCATGCAACACTCTGCATTATCAAACTCTAATTAAGTGCGATTTCCTCAAGCATTTTGTTGTGTTTGAAGGGGTTGTAGAGTGGAAGTGCCACCATAATATGAGGTAATATGTTCTATATTGGAAGACAATTTGTCCAAAATCTTAGACATTGTAAAGAGGATAATCTATTTTAAGGTTATTTTTTGGTTCATGCTTTCATTGATGATTTTTATTGTTCATTTTATTTTGTGCTCTGCATTTAATTTCGATTTGTAGCATTTGTGTTTATACTATTTCTCAATGTACAAATTGTCTGGATTGAATTTGTATATATATATATATATATAATACGAATTTAATGATTCTGTTTTTGTTGCATAAAAAGTTTCTCCGTTGCATTCACATAAAATAAGTGGATCCAATGGCAGAAAAAAAAATTATATAATAAAAGTAAAAATATTTTACCCATATAATATTTTGAAAGTGCGGAATGTCATAGAATTAACTACAATTAAAATTTCTATACAAAAAAAAAAACTATAATTAAAATGAAAAAATAAAATAAAATACTCAACTTAAATTTGATATAATTTCACCACAAAACAAGTTTTTCACTAGCATTTAATGATGTATTGTCACATCATTGAAAAAGTACAACATCTTATTTAGTTATTGAGATAATCAAACATATTAATTGAGGGGATAATATATCATTAAACGTAATTATATTTTTTTTAACTCATAATGTATTAAATTTAAACTCATGCTCAAATTAGTCCTCGAAGGTACATGAGACAGTAAGTTGGTAGTTGGTACTATAAATATTTTTTTAATATTAATTTGATTCTACAATATTTAAAATGGATATCAATTATGTTCATTAACATATCTTTGACCTGGCTTCTTAGTTTTTTTTTTTTTTTTTGGTATGCTCTTAGTTTCTGTTTTTGTTTTTATATAATTAGAGTTTAAAAATGTAATTTAGATAATTTATTTATAGGTTTAAAAACGTATATATATATATATATATATATATATATATATATATATATGAGAGTGGATGGATTTTATGAGAAGAGAGAAAGAAAAATAAAATAAAATAAGTCTCATCTACGATTATGCATGTAAAGGAACTAAAATTATCTTTTGTTTAAAAAAAATTAATGCTTTTATTTAATCAACTTAGAAAAGGGAAATTATTTATTTTAAAAAAAATTAATACTTAAGATAGATAAATGATTGCATTAAAATAGCATTAATTAAATTTCATAAAGAAAATCACCAAGTATGTGGATCAATTAGGAAGGAATTGTTCCAGTTTAAGCAGTTGTGTCGAGTTTGAATCAATAGGAACACAATTGACGGCTCTAATCGAACTAGTTGAGTAATCGATGTTGTTATGGACCTGACAAAGGCCTATATTCTAGAAGGCCCAAATAGGGCTAACAACTAAGAGAGAATTAAGGAAACATTCCTTAATTATGTTAATCCTACTACGGCAGCAATGGATCAACAATTGGACCCCCAATGCTCCTGAGAGGCCCAAAAGTCCACTTCTACCAGGTAATCCATCTATAAATAAGGGGTTAAACCAATAAGGTACACACACACTCTAAACCCTCTCTCTTAGCTTGTCATTGTGCACACACCCCACGCCTTGACTATGTCGTTATATTATTGTGCACAGTGATCCGCTTATCTTTAGGGTACCTCTCCTATAGGTACCTGAGAGAGGGCAAACAGATCCTATATTAACATACCAATCTATGATTGGACATATCGATCAGATCGTAACAGATGTACTATTAGATAATATCCACACACAAAATCACATAGAAAAACTTAATAATTAAAGTATTTAATTGTGCAATTTTAGACTTATAGTTCGACTTGTGGGAGGCTGGACCAACAAAACCGTTTTTTGTTTTAATTTTGTTGGTTATTGTCACACCTTTCTAAGTTATTCAAGCAGACATATTGGGTCAGATCTAATATAACACCTCTAAATACTGCTATATCAAGAACAGTTTTTCTGACTTTTTTTTTATAAAAAAAAAATGAAATAGACAAATTCATTCATAGTACATGGATTTCTTCTTTTTTCTTTAATACAAAATCCAATAATTAAGAGAAGTAAAATAACCCAATTTCACCAATAACCGCCACTGTTTTATCTAACTTTACTAGTCTGTCGAAGTATTAAACGTATAGTGGGTCTTCTCAAATGTAGCCTTGCTTGTATTTGCGAAAGAGCTCCTCGGTCTTGGCATTCCTAAAGGCATAGAACCCTATCACATATACGGCAATTAAACCAACCATAGTAATGATCAATATCACATTGGCCCTCCTCCACTCTATCCTAAGGGATGCTAATAAACCAGCCTTGCATGAGTCACAGTTGTAGCAAAGTTGTGTTTGGTCGTTGCTCCAATGTAGGCAATCCATATCTTCTGCCGTGTTAATGGGGCTAATCCAATAGGTTGGGTTCACAAACGTGTATCCACATTTGGTTGGTGGCTTACAGCACCCTGACTGCATGAGATTAAAGTCCAAAAGCAAAAAAGCATAAGAATAAAGGGCAAAAGGATGAGTACGGTTAACTCGAAGAATATCGGTTTAATTAACTCTTCAACTTTTTGTTCTCCCATCTTTCTTTTGCTAAATTAACTGAGTTTTGAAGTGATGGTTTCTCTAACAATAGTTTACCTAATTAACAAGAATGTGTTCAAAGTGAGTGTTAAAATCTTGTAAGATATGAAATTAAAAGAATTGCAAACTTCAAAAACTTAGTTGAATGCTTTCTGGAGAAATAGGTGTATGAAAAAAAAAAAAAATTGAAAAAAGTCAAGGACATGTTTTTTTGGGTTTCTCAAACATATTTCACTATTCTGGCTCGAGCACTATCACATTTTTACAAGTCTCACATAGGTTGCCTATATAACTAATGTGGTGATTTATAAGTCTTTGGACACTTCCATCCTTTGAGCTAGTTTTTGGGATGGTAATCTCAAGATTCGTAATAATTGTTACTTTCGTTGAGAGTTGAGGCCACGGAAAGGCCTACCTATAGGCTGGATTAAGGTGTCTCATTGGTTATATAGAAAGCTATTGTGGCCTTTATAAGGCCTTGGACACTCTCACCTTTTGAACTAGCTTTTAGAATGGTGATGGTGATCTCAAGGTTCGTAACACACACTCATACTAAGGAACGCTGCCCAAGAACTCTTTTACAAGGACATGTTTAGGAAGTAGTTAAGCGAATTAATCAATACGATTTGTGTTCCTAATTTTTGTTATTGCCCTCTCACGTGAAATAAAGAAACAAAAACCATCCATTTAACTCGCAAAATGCAATTGCGGCCCAATGTTTTGGTTTAGAAGGTCTTCGCAACCGCATTGTGAACATAATTATAGCTGCATCAGCTGTGATTCCGTGTAATTTTTGCAATTTTTGTAATCGCAAGCAACTGTGTGATTGCAATTTAAAAAACATATAATGCGTAATATTTACTGAATCACTGACATACTAAACTGAACTTGCGAATAAAAATATAGTATAATTAAGAAATGTAGTAAGAGGGGAAACGAATTGAGTTGGGTTTACCTGCATGGGTGTTAGGTGTGCATTAAAGAAGTCCTGAGCCATTCGGTAACTCTGGTTCAACTCAGCACACATAGTTGTTGAGCTAAGACAACTTTTAATGCGATCCCACTTGTATGAGCTTCTTACCCTTCGACGAAGAAAACCTGAGAAATCATCCATATGATATTCTAAGTATGACCGATTGGGTTCAATGTCCCCATGGCCTCTAAGAGTAACCATATATATGAAAACCACCAAGCAAACTAGCAACCCAATAAGCACAACCATGGCAATGAGATAGAATATGAGAAGCCAGGGTATTCTCCAAAACGCTCCAATGAAACCTGCCAGAGCCACGACAAAGATCAGAACCCCCAAGGTGATGATAGGCCATTGTATGATTTTGACACAGGAATCGGCTGGCTCTGTTGTTAGCCAGATTCCAGCACCAATGATTGGGATTGAAAGGAGAACGGCAACGAAGTTAATTGCTCCTATAACATTATTGCTTAGTGCCATTTCGGTAGGAGCAAATTTAGATGCCTGGTTTAGAAAGATGATTATGGGTTTTTTTATGTTTCTTGAAAATACTAATTAATGATAAATGGAATGTAGCTTTTGGGTACCAAGATGTAGGAGTCATGTTTACTTAATCCCACCTAAATTTGTTCCTTTCCTTGGATACCAGAAAGCTTCTAACTTTTTGGAAATAAACAACTTGAGGATTGGGATTTTGATATTTAGGTCTCATTACATCGAGCATAACATTTTGGAAAGGAATACCTTGCACTGTTGTACAGAAGGAGAGAGTGGAGGGTAAAGGAAAAAGGATTGACAGCCACGAGCAATGCACTGTGCAGGTGTTGGACAAAATCAGAAGAAAGAATCCACATGTCACGATTCCTTTGAGCATCTAAGCTTACTTATTTCAGATATCTTCCGAAGAATCTTGAGCAGTTGAGCTATTCGATCCTTCATGGTATTCATACTTTATTTCATATTTTGTCATTACATTATAATATTACTATCATAATTTAAAGTTGTCATGTTAATTGTTAACTTATTTTTACTCATCTCGATTTTAAAGAGGAATGCTACTAGTGTATTTTTTATTGTTCATATTTGGATCTGATGTTCATTTCACTATTTTATATACCCTTGTTTTGTTACATTAACTTTCCGTGTGCACCCGATACGTTACCATTATGATTTCAAGAGCAGTGAAATAAAAACAGTAAAATTCACTTAATCAAATGTGTCATAAAGTTTCTAAACAACCTCCTAAACATCCAAACGGAAAGAAATCGATTAGGCAGCAGGCACAACAAAATAACTTGGTAAACCGATCCAGCACTTTCAAATTTAGACAACAGAAATCACAAACTATTGAAGGTCTCTCGTGAACTTGAGTTACTAGGAAACTTGTTTCTACTTATCTTGCCTATCTCTACAACTTTAATATTAAGAGATTGGCCACTTCTTCATCTATGTTGATGTTGCTTACTTAGAGGAGACTAGAGTAAGTGTAACACCCCGTTCATGACCGGTTTATTATCATTTGTTGTTTCTGCTTAAAAACACTTTCCATACTTGAACGATACAAGAACTGTAATCACAACTCATATAATGTGCGGAAGATTTATATCTAAATAAAATGTATCATATAGATTAAGCATACATCATTACTATGTAGTTCCCAAACACTAACATAACATTAAATTATTTTTCATTATTTTGGGCAATGGCGCCTTGAGCGAGCTTTAGTGCACTACTGCACATGAAAAATTCTCTGTTTTGGCCGCTTTAGCGCGCCCTTGCACGTGTTAGCGCTCTCGTCAGGTATCTCTTATTTTAGAGTGTTTTAGCGCCTTCTTTGTGCGAATTAACGCGCTAAGAGGCTAAGCTACTGCCTCAAATTTAATTAGCGCGTAAAACACACCCTCATGCGCGCTTTAGTGTGTATTTCGAATAATTTTTGACTCTGGGTAGCGCGCTATAGAGCACTTTAGCTCGCTCCCCTTTACAGAAGCATGTCATTTATGTTTCATGTTAAAACTACGGAAAACATTCCAACCTTTTGGATTGATCATGGCACCTAATTGACTAGCAATACATTCCTATGATAATCAACACATCTAATACATTATTTCTTTGGATTTTCATATTTTATATCATCACATTCATGTCTCATGCATGTTTCTTGTGTATCAAGCCAATGTTTCTCTCATCACATGTTAACTTCTCTACATCATTCTCATGCATCTTCTAAACTTATAGATATAACATCTAAGGTCATACGTATACATAAAAATTGTAGGTCATCACTTCAGCTATCTTGAATCTCAACATACATAATCTTACCTAATGAATAATATACCATTTCATACTATCATGTAAGTACGTTATCAAATCTCGTAAACATTACATCTTTGGAACTTAAATCTTATATAAACATGATCTATGTCCTTTACATAAATGTACATCATGAGTGATACAAAATAAACATGATCATATCTCAAGTTCCATTAATACATCATAACATGTTCTTCTCAAAAGCTTGATTACAATTACATGTACAACAAAAGTAATCAGCACAGTAGCATGCTATATCATAATATCTAGGTTGGCCTCTTGCTATGAGATGCTCCTTCTCCATTTGTTGAGGTACCTGAAATGTGGATCCCCAAATACGGGGTGAGATAAAATCTTAGCTAACAAAGACTCCTTAGAGGATCACTCCACTTTATAGTTCACTTTCTATGCATCAACAATATTAAAACAAAACATAAAGGCATTCTGAAATTTGTAATGGAACTTCCTAGAGTAGTCCACAAGGGCTAGGTCTCTTAGGTGTATGTACCCTAAGGATGTCCCAAAGGTTTTCCAAGGGAAGTTCATTCTATTCTATTATGTTCTATTTTGTCCATTTTTTTTCTAGTATGGCCAACCATAACATTTCCAAGGGCTGTCTCAAAAAATGAAATCTCCAAGGAAAATGCATACATACCATTCTAAGGATTGTCCCAAAGGATGAAATCCTCAAAGATGGTACACTTTTAAGGGTTGTCCCAAAGGATGAAATCCCTTAAGATGTTTCTATCTACTGTCTGATCTAATTCTGTCCTGATACATCTTTTCATGCATCTTACAAGGTCTAACACCACAATGCATAATCATAATAAACCATTACTGTAACACCTCATATGCATCCGATCATGTTATCATCAATTATGATATTAAGCGCAATTAAAATCATAACAATCCATTTAAAAATACGGGAAAACTTTTTTTATTTAACATCGTTTGCAATAATTCTTACACTTTTAAAACATCCTATTCAACATTTTACAAATTGTGATTGTAACTCAAAACTATTGCGGAATCATAAATACTAGTGCTTAACATCATACATTGTCTATTCAAAGTTGCTATGTGATTCCCATAAATCAATAAAGCTAAAATACACAATTTGACGTATTACAGACTAGAAGTACCCTCAGTTTTCTCAAAACTTCAAATACAAGACCATAAATTCTCATCTTTTGGTATGCTAAACTAGACTTTTCTAGTTTTCCAACGAGTTATTGCATGCCTCAATTGGAGTTCTATAGCTCTAGATACGCTTGCTGTAAATTAATTCCTTCAAACTGTCAACACTGCACTATCGGGTTCACTAACATCCATCACTATTTCTTAAACTATAATCGTTCCAATCATCTTTTTTCTCCCAATTTTTTTATGTGTTATCGTATACACCATAACCTTTAATTTGATGTATCATAAGCCTAATTTGGGTAATAAAAGAGAAAGATATGAATTTTTAAAAATATATACAGAAGCTGTATCATCTAACGTGGATCAGGACAGTCCTCCTTCAATCAAAAATTGGATAGTTTCTATAACTCAAATTGAAACCAAATTTTAGTACAATACATGGGACATTTTAAGCTTCAAAATGAGGTACAATACGTCTCAACTGGACTACTATGGAGAGGGATATGGTCTCTCAAAGTTAGGTGTAAAATTGACTACATTGCTGGAAATTTTGGCAGCATAACCTTTGTTTTATTAACGTTTATTGTAAGAACCCACACCGTTAATTAAGGAAGTTAATTAATTAATTATGAGAAATTAGGAAATAATTCCATAATGGACCCTAATAATTATGAGAAGGCTTAAATAATTATGGTAAGTGATTAATAATGCTGAAAGCCGCTTTTTTGACGAAAAGTGCAGATACCGGTTCTGTTACTTGGTATAAGTGTGTGCCAATGAATTATCCCAAAAAATTATAATAATTGCATGAATATTCCTAGAATAATATGTAGGACTGTGATATCAAGTTTCAAGTTAAAATAATGAGAACTGGTACCAGAACTGATACTGGATATGGAAAAGCGCGTACCAGAAAGGTGCTGCGAAAAATAAAATAAAAATATGATAAATCTTAGAAAAATGAGTAGGTTCAGAATCCCAAGTTTGAGATTAAAATGCTAAGCGTAGCTATTAGTGCTAATATTGTGTAATTAATTAAGGGCCCAAAACCCTAGGCCATAATGTTGGCTGCTACGTGAGGATTCTTTGTGTTGATTCTCTTCAGCCATTCTCTCCTCTCTTCTTGGAAGCTTGAGACTTGCTTGAAAACTAACCAAGTCATCACCTTTTCTTTGATTTCTCTTCATTAAACCTTGTAAACACTAAGTGGTGAACCTTGTGAGGTGTGAGGCCACTCATTCTGAGTTAGGCTTCTGAGTTGTGTGGTTTTGAGAGCTGTATTCTGAGTTTGGTTGTGAGGGGTCATCTTCTTGACATTTTGGAGCTTCATGGTGCCATGGTGATGGAGAAAGGTCCAACCTTGTAGTACATTTTCGTACTCTTGCAAAGTCAGAACCTTTGAGCCTTGTTGGGAGCTCCAAGGATGAGTCTTTTTCTGAGTTTGAGTCTCTTGAGGTATACCATGATCACCTCTTTGTCATTTTGATGATTTAAGCTTGTTTAATCGGTTTAAAAGTAAAACTTGGATTATTTAAGTAAAGGAATGTGTTTCTGAGTTCTTAAGATGTTGTTGTATATCTGTTTAGGGAGTCATTGGACTCCCAATCGCATTTGGACCCTTAAAATTGGACTTATGCAGAAGAATGCTCAAGTTTCTGCATTCTGTCTGATAAGTATTCGAATACTTTTCGTGTAGTATTCGAATACTTATCCCTTGGTAGTCGAATACTCCTTGCAGGAGTATTGGGATACTTTTCTAGGAAGAAAAGTATTCAGATACCTTTGAAGAAGTATTCGAATACAGCGAGTTTTAGTATTCAGATACTGTGGTATTCAGATACTTGAGGTGTTGGTATTCGAATACCTGGAGGTATTCGAATACTTTAGTGAAAGTAATCGAATACTTTCTGGAGAGCTGGAGTATTCGAATAATACTACTCGTGGAGTATTCGAATAATACTACTCGTGGAGTATTCGAATACCTCTTGCAGAAACAACATGTAATGACTTAAAATGAGATGGAA